CCATTTACATTTGCACGGCGCCAGGTTCGACGCCCGCAGTCTCATCGGCGAGCTCTGGAAGGGCGCTCGCATCATCCAGCTTGTCCTGGGTGACGAACAGCGACTGGCAGTCGACGCTGGGCAGGGCAAGGACGGGGCGTCCGACGCCTGCGTCGTCGAATTTCCCGAGGACGCCGCCAGCGCCACCGAGGGCTATTCGCCATCGGCCTTGTCGGCGACGCCCGTGGAGGCCGACAGCAACTTCTCCGGCCACATCCAACCGGGGACGTCGGCAGCTGGGCAGGAGTTCGAGGGCGCGAAGGATTTGGCATTGGAGCTACAGGGTCTGGAGGCCCCCGACAGCGAGCAGATGATCTACGCTGCTGTCAAGCACGCGGCCGCCAGCATAGGCCGCAGGCCGTGCGAGTGGCCTCGGCACTTGGAGACTCAACGCCAGCGCCCGCACATCTACGCGCAGCGTCGCCACTACCTTCGCGGCGCCACTTTAGACGACTACGCCAAGCCTGAGGATGAAGAGGAGGATGAAGGAGGAAAACAAGTGGAGTTATACTTGGACCCAGGAGCGCGAGAAGCGTTTCTGAGCTGCCACGATGGCAACCACGCTGCCAGCGCGCCCGCCGCGCCCGCGCTGAAGGTCTACGCCCCCGTCGAGACCGCGGAATTCAGGCGCGACGCCGACCTCCCCACCCGCGCGGGGGCGTCGAGGCTGACCAAGGAGGTGGCCGCCGTCATCCCCGCGGAGCTCACCATCCGGTTTAGCTGTAAATATTTCGAGCGACGCCCTCCCGAAGGCGCTCGGAACGTCGCGGAGACTCCAGGCGCGCGTTCAAATTGCAGCACCGGAATGGTTAGGCCGCCAGGATCACTTGGCGCCGCACGGCGCTGAGGGGCTTCCGCGACAAGGGCGCCAGCCCTGGAGACATTCGCCGGCGCGGCGAAGCGGGCGTCTGAGCACGCGCTGTCCTCGGTGGCGGCTCGTCGCTCGGACGGGGCGCGGGTCGCCGCGGGCGGCGGGTTAGCGCCCCCGCAGGGCATGGCCTATGATCCTGCGCCGAGATGCAGGAGCAAAGCGAAGCACCAAGAGAGGTGAACTTCAACCTGCCCCCCAGCAGCGCGGCCATTCTCAGGCAGGCCCCAGCCTGCGAGTCCTTCGGCGAGCGGGCCGAGTGCCTGCGCTGCATCGGGCCGGGCCCGGACTGCAAGGGTGCGCCCAGGGCATTCTCCATGGAGCTCGCTAGGGTCGCGCGCTCGCCCGAATGCAGCGCGACGCGGCGGCCCAGGGCTCGAGGTCAAACGCGAGTCGTCCAGCGCCCGTTGCGCCAGTGGCTTCGACTCATTGGAGACTGGAGCATATGAATTACCAGTGGCGGGCTGTCTTTCGATCCCAGGGCTGCTTGAGGGTCGGGGGCGACGTCGGGGCGGCGCGGCACATGCTGGTTTCCCTGTTTTCCCGGGGAGACAACGAAAAATGTTTATGCCGCGGTCCCGCATTCACCAGGATCAGCCCACCCGTGCAAATTGTACCGCGGGTCCGGAAAAATCGCCGGCGCAGAGAGTGCGGCTCCTTAAGTTAGTGCTCGTGCTGTCCACGCACGTTGGCGATCTTAAGATCGCAGGGCGCAAGAAGCACGTCGACCGACTCATCGGCCGCATCGAGAGCGTCTTCGGCAATATGAAGGGGGGGGCACGCAGCTTCGCGTACTGCGGAGCTCGCCAAAGTCAACGCCGCAGCGCCGATGCCACAGTGACGCTCCATCAGTGCGAGTACATTGACGCGCTGATCCCCGTCGGGCACGTCGACTTGCCCAAGTCGAAGGCCGACGAGCCGGCCGGATGTCCACTCCAGGACCTCGTTGTTTCCACGGAGCAGCCGCCTATGCGCTGCGCGCGCATCGCGTCGCCATCTACGTCGTCGCACTGATACTGGCCAAGAACAAGCTGCTCGTCAGGCGCGCGATGCAACTCGACTCCGTTGTCCTGGTCGCGCGGCATGGGCGGTCGCGGGCGGCATGGGCCGCCCGCGGCCGCCGTCGGAGATTAGCGCGGCAGGCCGCCCGCTGTTGCTGGCAGACCGGCCGCGCACCAAGCAGCTGTCCGACATGTCGCGCAGCGACGCCCGCGACGCGGGGGCCGACCTCACGACGAGAGGACACAACGGCCGGGAGCTCATCCTCGACATCGTGGAGGGGGGGGCCTTGGGAGCTCGCCCACGAAGACCACGGCGCAAGATGACGGTGCCAAACACCAGCTACAGCAACCCTCAACAAGGACAACGACGGCGCCACTGAGTGACCCACTCGACGTAGCATGTCCGAACTGTGTACGCGAATGTTTCGGCTGACTCGCACATCGCGAACTCTGTTCGCGACTGCGACGCAATGCGCCAGGGAGAGAGAGGCAAGCATATCCTCGCATGTCACGAACTACGTGCGCAAATGCGACGTAGTGAGCTGTGCCAGTGAAGGGCTGTCTCCACGAAATATGTTCGCGGGGCAACAGGCCGTTGCGCGTTGAGCACTCGAGTAATCTATATTGTGGTCCGCCAATAGTCTGCCGCCAGCCTTTTCTGTCCGGCTATGACTGGATCTTTTTTCTACAGGAGGGGCCCTGGTAGCAGAAGTTCCCCACTCAGTGTAACTTGCAAAAAGGAGCCTTTCCAGTAGAAGGCCCCCCAGCGTTGCGACATTATTTTGGGCGGGGGTGGTCACTGGAACACCTTGCCATCTACTGCCTGTCGCCGCGCATGTCGATGGTCTGTCCGTTGCGGCGCGATGCTGGTCTGGGAGGCTCGCGTCCGGGTCACCATCAGAACGCGACGGACCCGCGTGAACACCAGACTCGAACGGTAGATCGCCGGCACAAGGGAAATTGGCCAGCATGGTTCGGCCACGGGTGTTTGGCTCAGGGCTAGCCTACCGCGCCCGCTATACAGTGTATTTTATACATCCTTCCGCTATGAATTTCGCTTCGCAGAAAAAACATCAGATTTCACATCCCGATTAAATTGTCGAGTTTGTGGCCGTGTTTGGCTCGACGCTGTAGCTGTCCCCGGCAGCAAGTGGTCGCCACTGACCCGCGTATGTGCCAGGGCTGTTCAGCCTGACTGCTCTTGCCAGCGCTGTTCTGGCTGGCAAGTTGGCTGCCTCCTCGCGCGGCAACGGGTTGCGGCAGACGCCCATGCCATGGCAGCGAAACACAAGGACAATACTGCTGATGGTATCAAGGTTCTTGATGACGTTCCTCGTGGCGGTGTTCCTGGTAGGTCGGCCAGCCGTGGTGCAGCAGGCGAAGATGACGTTCCCCTCCCTCACGGTGTTTCTGGGGAGTACCAAGATGCACACTTTTGGAACGTCGTCAGAGAGATGTTCATGGACATCCTCAGGAGCGCCAAGCAAAATCTCCAATCAGCCGTGGCCAAGTCTGCCAGGGATTTGGCCAAGACAGCCATCGATCCAGTACAACAAGCCGTGGCAGCCGTACAGTTCGCTATAGAAAATGCATCCAAGGCGGCGTCGTCCGCTGCCTGGGCGGCGCCCCACAGCGCATGCAGATGCACATCGACGTCGTTGAGAAGGACAGGCGCTGGGATGTCAAGCAGGCGGCGCATGATGGCCAGTGTCTTCTTCATCTTCTTGATGACCCTCAGCCTCGCGTCGAGGCCATGCTGTATCCAGCATGCGCAGCCAGTCTGCGCGCAGACCTCGGGAGTGCTACGAGGTGCCAGGCATCTTCACGGGGCCGCGGGTCACGGCAGCGCGTGCCTGGCGCAGGCTGCGGCCTCTCAACCACACGGCGGAATGCTAGGGGATGCCAGGCATCTCCACGGGGCTGCAGTTTGCCTACGAGGACTACCCCTTCCGTAATTGCAGTGCGTCCTTGGCGCAGGCGGTGGCATCCAAGCTCAGCCATGCAGCGGAGCGCTACGATGTGGCAGAGCATATCCTTGGGGCTGTGGATCACCTGCGATGACTCCCTTCCGCTACTGCAGCGTGCCCTAGGTGCAGGCGGCAGCTTCCGAGCTGAGCCGCGCAGTTGAGTGCTGCGAGGTGCTGGGCATCTTCACGGGGTTGCCTTTCGCCCGCGCGGTCACGGGCTGCTTCGTCGTCTACCACTACGCGTGTTCCACTTCGGTGCAATGCTCCAAAGTGCCAGGCATCTTCGCCGTGCTGCCGTTGGCCTTCGTGGACTACCCATTCCGCTATGGCAGCGCATCCCTTGCGCAGGCGACGGCGTCCAAGCTTGGCCATAGGGTGCAGTGTAGCGAGGTGCAGAGCATCTTCGTGGGGCTGCGCCCCACCTACGAGCAGTACCCGCTCCGCAACTGCGGCCCTTGCGCAGGCAACGGTTTCCAAGTCCTGCCGCGCGGCGGATTGCTACGAGGTGTTGGGCATCTCCACGGGGCTACCGTTCGCCTACGAGGACAGCCCCCTCCGGTACTGCTGCGCGTCCCTGGCGCATGCGGTCGCGTCCCAGTTCAGCTCATCGGCGGAGTGCTACGAGGTGCCAGGCATCTTCTCGGTGCTGCGGAACACCTACGATGACCACCCCTTCCGCTATGGCAGCGCGTCCCTGGAGCTGGCAACGGCTTCCAAGCTCAGCCGTGGTGGTTCTCCGCCACGGTATCTGGACTCTCTGTGAGCTGTCTTTCTCCCTCTTTTGGAATCAGTTTCTGCCTCGGTGCGGCTTCTCGCAGTTTGTTCGTAGAGATTTAGACATCAGGCGTGCCTCCTATCATTGTCCAGTGCGGCTTTCGTCTTTGTGTTACTTGTCTGGTGGCTTCAGTTGGTGTCAGTGTCAGTATCTCGTTGTTCGAACCTGTCTTCATGCTGCTGTAGTGAAAAGGCACTGACAGCCACGCTCTCCTTCTCTGTGCTGATGGCATTGCATAACAGATTTTCACGCTTTTCACAGGCTGACGATGAGCCCTTCATCCAGATCCAGATCCAAATCCCTCCCCCTTCCTCCATCTTTCCTCCGAGTCGCCCGCCCCCGCCCCGCAGGCGCGCAACCCGACGCCCCCTCTCATCGAGAAGATCGCCCAGCTCCTGGCCATGCTGCACGAGGCGGCCGCCGCCAGGGCGCCAGCCGGGCCCCGGCGGGTCGGGGAGCTCCGTGCGGGCTCTCCGCGGGCGGCTGCGGGCCTTGACGTGCTCAGAGTGCCCCCCAACAACTCCAGGCTTGTGGACCTCTCCCCAGACCTCCGACGATTTGATTTTATCAGCCGAGCGTTTTTCCTTCATGTCGGCCTCCGGCGCTACCAGGACCAGGACCCTCAAAAACGGGATCCACCGCGAAGGACTGCCTTTGGGGGATGAGTCGGGAGCTCCGGGGCCGCGGATTGAAAACATCCTATCAGAGGATGTCTGGGGTCTGGGTGCTGCCTTTGTCTTCGGCAGCTTGCACTGGCCGCTCACCTTCCTTTAATTGCACTGGTTTTCGGCCGCTGGCCAAAAAGTCTGGGGCATGGGACTGCTTACGAGGATCGGGCTCCTGAGATGCGTTCTCCTCGCGCGGGGCCTCGCGTGGAGGGCGCTCCTCGACGCCACGGGTGGGCCCCCCCCCCCCCTCCGCAGATCCTGGCCAGCACGCGCACCAGAAGACGTCTGGGGTGCACGGGGGGCGATGTGAAGGGAGGTGGAGTGAGATAGGTCGGTGGCGAAGTCCGAACTCCACCCTCGCCGATCAACGATTCAGGCAACTGGATGGGCTGCAGGAGTGGGGTGCGGGATTCGTCGAACACTTGGCGAAATCCGAACCATAAGTTGCCCCAGCCCTCCATCGATTCAGGAGAATCGATGGTCGGTGGGGGTACGGCTCGGATGTCGCCACCTAATCTAGGATCAAACACTGCAAACTACGTAATGTCTCGGAGGTCCATGCAGATTTCTCAGATCGGCGTTGGGCCCCCCTGGCGGCGCGTCCGGCGCCGCCTCTGGCGCGCTCCGTGCGCCAGGGAGGGGGGTCCAGCGCCGATCCAAGAATTCCGTGCGAGCCTCCGAGAAATCATGTTTATGTTGCTTGTTGTTCTTGTAGAGGGGGGGAAAGAGGGGAGGCGGGGAGCGGAGGTGGATGGAAGCGAAGGGAGGGGAGAGAGAGAAGTCTGAAGAGGGTTCCCTCGCCCTGATTCAGCTCCCAGACGCAAGGGCAGCTCATTGTCATTCGCCCTCCGTCTGAAAGCACAAGGAGGAGTTCTATGGCTCCGGAGAGGGCGGCCCAGGAGAGAGCACGAAGTTGGTCTTGGCTATGGCGGGTTGGGGGCCTGGCCAAGTGAAACGGCCAGGTGCATTGGCTTCCGCATTCCAGCGAAGGTGTCGTCGTTTCTTCGCCCTGCTGTCGTGCAGTCAGCGACGCCCCAGGCTTGACGATGGCACCTGCAGTGGCTCGCAGGCGGGCCCAGCTCGTAAGGCACGCTCAGCATCACGGTCAAATTACAACAGCCAGTACTTCTGACATCTAGTGGCAACGGCCCATGCCCGCCACCGTCCATGGACCGTGGACCCGAGGTCTCTTGGAGGCCTCTCGGAACTATTGGGGCGCCTCTTGGGGGCCTCCTGGAGGTCTCTCGGGGGTTTCTCTGGAGCATCATGGGAACCTCCTGGAAACTTTCTAGGAACACCTCCCAAAACACATCGATGAGTTCTCGAGAAATGCTCATTGTACGAAGCCCACCAACACATTTGGAAAGCAATCGAGAAATAATGATGTGGGTTTACACAAGGATTAGGGTGGAAAGCTCGGTGCACAGAGCCACCAAACCCGACGAAGTGCCGTCCTGCTGCGGGTGTGCAGCTCCTCCACAGAGGGAGGAGCAGGCCCAGGGCTTCCTGAAGGGGGAGGGGGTAAAGGTGGGATTTAAGACCATGTGGCGTGAGGCTTTTCTCAATCTCCTCATTACCTTCATCGTCATCATAATCATAATCGTAATCATAATCATCAAGATCATCCTCATACTATTATAACCATCATCATCACCATGATCAGAAGTTTCCGTATCCTCACGCTAATCATCGTCTGAATATTCTTTCTCATATCCTTTCTCCCCCGTGCAAGCAGAGTAACATACACCCGCATAATCAACACACTAAGACATAATCACAAACAACAATACAACGAAAGTCTTACACCCAATAAGCATAAATAACCCATAGAAACAAAAACAATGATGCACCAACACCATCAACAACAAACAGACAACGTATTGGGTCCACGAACCTTGTGAGGTTACCAAAAATAAAGCACACACAAACAAGCATGCATACAGAACTTGTGAGGGCACTAATATCATCACTGATCTTCGTGTCTTCGGACTTTTTCAGGGTCCCTTAAGCCCAGATCCGCCCAGGCAGCCTGTCGAACATAACCCAAAACAGTGAGAAAGCCTCTCAGGTTCACAAACCCTGTAATGGTATCGACAAGCCGGTGAGAGTACCAGAAAACCAAACATCCATGGGTTTCGTGTCTTCGGACTTCTTCAGGGCTCCTCCAGTCTAGATCCGCACAGGCAGCCTGAAGACACGAAAATCATTGATGTGTTGTTTTTTGGGGTACGCTCACACGTGTTTGTTTGTTTTGTTGTTTGGGTTGTTTTTTGGTGCCCCAATTGGGTTTGTGGACCCAAGGCGTTTTCTTGTCGTTTCTGCTTGTATTTGTGGTTTAGTTGTTGCTTGCATGGGTGTCTTACTGCTTTTGATCAGATGGGTTCTTTAGGCTTTTTGATTGTATACAGTTCTTGTTGTTTTTGATTGTATGGATGTTATATTATTTTTGATTGTGCGGATCTGGGCTAGAGGAGCCCAGAGGAAGCCCGAACAGACGAAAACCGTTGAGTTTTGTTGGTGCCCTCACACTGTTGCTTGTGTGTGTGTTTGGGGTACCCTGGCAGGGTTCGTGGACCGAAGACGTAATCTTATTGTGTTTCACTGTATGGATGTCATAGTGTTTTGATTGTACGGGTTCCTTTTGGGTAGATGGTTTTATTATTTTGTTTTTCATGTTTGAGGTTTCTTGTTGTTTTTTCAATGTACGGGCTGCCTCCTTACCACTACTTCTCCCTCCTCCCCCCCCCGCCGTCCTGACATGGGAAGCGAAGAGGAGGAGGAGGAAGAGGAGTAGGAGGAGGAGGAGGAGGAGGAGGAGGAGGAGGAGGAGGAGGAGGAGGAGGAGGAGGGGGGATGATGATGCGTTCTGATGATGATAATTATGATAATGAGCATGAGGAGGGTGTTGAGGCGGAGGATAATGGATTATGATGAGTATGAGGGCGATGAGGGATGATGATGGAGATGATGATGAGGATGAGGAGGAGGGATGCTGATAACGATGGTGATGTTGATGATGATGACGATGCGGGATGATGATGGTGGTAATGAGGAGGAGGGACGATGGTGCTGAGGAGGATGAGGGGGATTACGTAGACGGAGGGGGGATGACGATCATGATTATGAGGAGGAGGGGGGTGGAGAAGACAACGACGACGAGGAAGAACGGGGGCAGGAGAGAGAGGAGGAGAATGGGAGGGAGGAGGGGGAGGAGGGCTGACAGCTCGAAGAGCAAGCTCCACGGACCGTCCGACCGTTCTGGCCGGTTGCTCTGTGTATCCCCCTCTCTTCCCGCACCTCCCCGCTCACACCCTCTCATCCTCTCTCTTTCCCCTTTCGTCACTCGTCTGTCCTTCGTTCTCCCACCGTCCCCTTTCTCATCTCCCATTTCCCCTTTCCCCTTTCCCTTCTCTCCTGCTTTCACCACTCCTCCCTCCTTCACCATCCTCATCCTCATCGTCAGATTCACCGTCATTTTCATCACCAGACCAGCAATAATCATGCTCATCTATGTATACCTCAGCATGGTGCGCTTCACCATGATCATCGCCGTCATCATCATCATCATCATCATCATCATCATCATCATCATCATCATCATCATCATCATCGTCCTCATCATCATCATCATCATCATCATCATCATCATCACCGTCATCATCATCAGCATCATCATCATCATCAGCATCATCATTATCGTCATCGTCATCGTCATCGTCATCGTCATCAGCATCATCATTGAAATTCTCGTAGGCGTCTTCCACAGAGTCCGCTCATCATGGTCATAGCCACTCAACATAATCATCCTATTCTCCACATGCTCCCCCTCGTTTTCATCACCCTCTTCATCAGACTCACCATCATCACCAAACCCCGCCGGCTGCTCCTCATCATACATGTCCTCCTTATTGGCAGAAACACCAATCTCATAATGCGACTCTTCCTTGCCTGGGTAGACATCAACATACCGATATGTTGATTGTAAGGAGGAGATGCGGCAGAGAGGGGGATTATAATTCAACGGAACGGGACATGATGAGGAGGAGCACGATGCAGTGACACAGGAACCCTGTGAGGGTCGGATTTAGGAATAGATGCAAAAATCCGCCCTATGCCCCCCCATCATCACTATCATCATCAAAACCACCATGATCACCATGCTCGTCCTAGTCCTCTGCCGCCTGCTGCTCCTCATCGTCACCACCGTCATTTTGCAACACATCCTTGCCTGGGTAAACATCAGAGCCCCATAAAGTTGTTGACGAGCATGAGATGAGGCAGAGAGCCGGATAATGATACCACGAACCGAGAAGAGATGAGGAGGAGCAGGACGCAGATAATTTGAAATGTTTGAGGAACGAATTTCGGCACATGTGCCCAAATCTGTTCCTACCCCTCGGGTCGTAGAGGTGATCATATTGGTTGACATTGCAGTGTGTTCCTCTTGGTTTGAAGCGCACGGGCATCTGTTTGGTTTTCATTGTACGGCTTCCTTGTTGTCTTTTATTGTAAAGGGTCGTTGGTGCTCTCCTTTGTCCGTGCTGGGCCTTCCGAGGGATCGGAACGGATTTAGGCCTCGATGCTGAACTCCGTTCCTCACAGGTTTCCAGTTTCTCCACATCTTGCTCCCCCTCATCGTGTCTTCTTCTGTTATGCCATTATCCTTCTCTCTGCCTCATTGCACTCTCACCAACAATTCGTTAGGACTGTTGGTGTTTTCCAGGCAAAGAAGAGTGGCATTACGATGATGGTGAGTATGCCAATGATGAGGAGGGGTGAGATGAGGATCAGCAGGCGGAAGAAGAATACGAAGAGCATGGTGATGATGATGAAGATGATGAAGAACATGATGATGCTGATGATGATGCTGATGATGATGATGGTGGTGGTGATGCTGCTGATGATGATGATGATCAGATGATGATGGTGATGATGATGATGATGATGATGATGATGATGATGCTGAAGGGGCAGATGTAGATGATGAGTATGATGAACGTGTTGGTGATAATGATGTTGATGGCGTGCGCTGCAGCCGCGCACGCAAGCAAGCTCAGGTCATGAGGTGCCGCGCCCAAAAAAAACACTCCCCATCCTCCTCGTCCTCTTCCTCCTCTTCCCTCCCTCCTCATCTCTCCTCCACTCCTCCCTCCTCCGCCCCGCGGCTAGCGACGCCTGCCGCGAGGGTAGCCAGTCTGCGCGGCAGCAAGCACGCGCCCTTTGAGTCCTCTGGCAGCTCGAGCTGCCAGCGGCGCGTGCACCGCCCCCGCTGGTGAGGCCCTGGCGCGCGCGTGCGGCAGCGGTGCCGGCGTTGCCGTCGCCCGCGGCGCTGCCGAGTCGGTCCGGCCCCGCTGGCGCTGCTGGTACGCAGGCAGCCAGGCGGGCCAGGCGGGCCAAAGGCCGCCCAGAGCGCACGGCGTGCGCCGGCGCTGCTGCCACGGGCCAACGGCTGCTCACGGGTCCTGCACGTCGGCGCCAGCAGCACTCGCGCCCGCCGCCATTGCGGCCGCCGCCTCGGCCTGCTGCGCAGTCTGCAGCCCGTCGACGGGGCAGGCGAAGGAGAGCCATGCTCACTCAGGATAGGGCGAGCCGAGACAGCGGTAATTGGCCTTCGGTGGGTCTCCTTGTCGCTGCGGCTGGACGCAGCTCGAAAACTGCGTTTGGACCCCTGGAGGGGTCCAGGGACCGATTTTGAGCTGCCGTCCTCTCGACTCGACCTGCTCCGATTGTCTGAAGGCAAGGAACGCCGCCGCGACCCGCATTATTGGACTCTGGACAGAGCAGCCCTGCCCTGTTCAATCCCATTGTTGGGTGTGCTTCTGAACGGCCTCTCGCACAGGAGTGCCTATGGTGAGAGTGGTTCCTCTGCCCTGCCCTCCTCAACCTCCTACTCTCCCTTCTCGAGCCTTCCACCGCCCCTCCTACCCCCCTCGTCTTCTCTCCTCCGTTCGCAGCCGTCTGTTCCAGGATGCGTTGCCCGCAGCCCGGGCTTGCCGCTCCATTTGCTCCACAGCGGCGCGCCATTCCCCAAGCAGCTCCTCTGGCCTCCGGTAGCGTTAGCCTGCCGCACAGTTCCTGGAGGCACTCTCACAAAAGGTTCGCGATGTGCCTCCCACCGTCCACGACGGCGGCCAGGGCGGCAAGGGCGGCAAAAGCCGCAGATCCTTCGGGGCTTATGTTACGGGGGTCATCGGGCGGGGCTAGGACGAAAACAAGTTCGTTCCGGAACGTTTTCCGAGCGTTCTGGAACGCTGTGAGAAGGCCGCGGCGCCCGAGACATCCTCCAGAACCACCGGATCTCAGAGATTCCCGCGTTAGCCTCGTCCGAATTGGTCCTCGTCCTGGCTTCGTCTTGGGTCAGCGCTAGCGGGGGTCAGCCGATCCCCTCTGGTTGACCCCGGTTCGGGAGCCACGTGGGGCCGATTCCCCCTTTCCGCCCTCCGCTGACTCGGGCTTGGGAGCTACGGAGCGGCTGGCCCGGCTACGCGACAGGGCCCTGGCCGACCCAGGTTTGTGCTGACCTGGGTTAGTGCGTCCCCGAATGGATAGGCGTACACTTCTTGAGGAGCCACCAGACTGAATGCGAGTGAGGGCTCGTACACGGGCGCGAATGCCAGAACTAGTAGCGACATACCTTTGCAGGTGATGTGTGTCTGGGGTGGACATTGCTTCCTCTCATCCTGCACCCCCCCCGAGGGCCAGTCCAGATCCGACCAGTACCTCAACGATCTCTCCAAGTCGAACGGGCTCGTTGCGGCTCTTCGGCAGAGGAGCCGTGGGGAGGCGGTGTGGATGGCTCGACGTGACCATGCCTTTGCTTGCATCGCGAGGCGGGGTTGGCTGCCGCCCGAACCACAAGGGCCGCCCTGAGTCGCACTGTGCGGCGGGGGTGGCCCGGTCCCGCTCACGGGGTCCCGCCTGCGGCTTCCCGCCTCGAGGCCCCAGAGTCTTCTCGGGAGCGCCCAGGGGAACCCGGTGGGGGCCACCCGAAGAGCTTCCTGGGGGTCCGAGGGGAACCTTGAAGTCTGGCAGCAAATCCTGGGAGCCTTTTGGGTCTGGGTTACGGTGTCAGGGTTAGGATGTTAGGGATGTGGTCATAGTGTCAGGGATCGGGTGCGACGGGGATGGTGTTAGGGGTCGGGTGTCCTCGTAACTCTGCCTTTAGAGTGCACCAGCGTGCGCTAGCGTCTGGTAGTCGATGAGAGAGCGACGGGTTTGGCGTCGAAGTGCGTAGATTCAGCGTAGACTACCGTCGATTCGCGCCGATCCGCAAGAGCCAGCAGGATGGCAGGGGAGGCTTACATTAGCTGCCACCGAACCGAAGGGCCTGCACGCAGGCCCTCAGGAGCTCCGAGGAGGGCCCCATGAGAGATCAAGGAACAAAAACGGCATAAACATAAACTGTCGGAGCTCCGTGCGGATTTCTTAGATCGGCGCTAAGCCCCCCCCCTGGCGGCGCCTCCAGCGCTACCCCTAGCGCGCTCCGCGCGCCAGGTAGTCCAGCGCCGATCCAAGAAATCAGCGCGGACCTCTAAAAGGTTCATGTGTATGTTGTTATTCTGTTCTTCAAAGAGAACCCCTGGATTTTACAGGAGGGGGATGGCGCCGAGGAGGGGAGAAGGCACTGAAGAGCAGCAGGAAGGAATGAGAAGTGTTGCAGGGTTGCAGGTGCACGCCCCATTCATATCCTGGCCTTACATCTTGTAGGCCAGGTAGCCTGCGCTTACGCTTCACAAGGCCGCGTCCATCTGAAATTATCCTGGCGAAGGACCCAACCATATGCAGTGGTGAGTACCGCAATCGTGAATATCTTCTTCGGTGGCGTCCCCTATGGGGCCACGAACCGTATGAAGGTGTGCCGGATTGTGTGGCGTAGCCTCTGCAGGGGGCTTCCTTGGGAACCCCGACGGCAGCGCCCGCGCGCCGCGACGCCCATGCCGGCACGCCCCACACGAGGATCGCGCCCGTTTCCTCCCCTCCTTGTTCCTGTTCCTTTGCCCGCGCACTCCAAAGTCCAAGGCTGCGGGCGCAGCGCAAGGCGGAGCCCTCGCGACGCGCGCAGGTCGCCCCGAAGGGGTCACACTGACGCGCACGGTTCGTACGCTGTGTGGAACAGAGATTGCTTGCTGGCTAACTGATAACGCGCATGGTTCTGGCCGCCAGGCGGAGCGACGACGGGCGAGCGAGGCGCTGGACAGAGCGCAGCGCGGAGTTCGCGCGACGCGCGTTGATCGCCCCGAGAGGGTCCCAGCGACGCGCGCAGGGCGTCCGCGGCGCGAGGCCAAACAGTTGGACAGCCGAGAGAAGGCGCGACTGTGGCGGGCCGCTCCTCCAAGGGGTGTGCCGAAATGGGTGTGCGGGACACGTGCGGGCACACCCACTGGGACCTTCGGTGGAGCCCCTATGGGGCCACGAAGCGTGTGAAGGGTGTGCCGACATGGGTGTGCGGGACGCATGCGGGCACACCCACTGGGACCTTCGGTGGAGCTCCCTATGGGGCCACGAAGCGTGTGAGGGGTGTACCGAAATTGGTGTGCGGGACGCAAGCGGGCACACCCACTGGGACTTTCGGTGGAGCTGCTCCTTATGGGGCAAAGAAACGTGTGAGGGGTGTGCCGAAATGGGTGTGCGGGACACATGCGGGCACACCCACTGGGACCTTCGGTGGAGCTCCTCATGGAGCCACGAAACGTGTGATGGGTGTGCCGGATGGTGTGCGGGACGCATGCGGGCACACCCATTGGGACCTTCCGTGGGGCTCCTTATGGGGCCACGAAACGTGTGAGGGGTGTGCCGAAATGGGTGTGCGGGACGCATGCGGGCACACCCACTGGGACCTTCGGTGGAGCTCCCTATGGGGCCACGAAACGTGTGAGGGGTGTGCCGAAATGGGTGTGCGGGACGCATGCGGGCACACCCGCTGGGACCTTCGGTGGAGCTCCCTATGGGGCCACGAAACGTGCAGGGGTGTGCCCATGGTGTGCACACCCACTGGGACCTTCGGTGGAGCTCCCTACGGGGCCACGAAACGTGTGAGGGGTGTGCCGAAATGGGTGTGCGGGACGCATGCGGGCACACCCACAGGGACCTTCGGTGGAGCTCCCTATGGGGCCACGAAACGTGTGAGGGGTGTGACGAAATGGGTGTGCGGGACGCATGCGGGCACACCAACTGGGACCCTCGGTGGAGCTCCTATGGGGCCACGAAGCGTGTGAGGGGTGTACCGAAATGGGTGTGCGGGACGCATGCGGGCACACCCACTGGGACCTTCGGTGGAGCTCCCTATGGGGCCACGAAGCGTGTGAAAGGTGTGCCGAAATGGGTGCGCGGGACGCATGCGGGCACACCCACTGGGACCTTCGGTGGAGCTCCATATGGGGCCACGAAACGTGTGAGGGGTGTGCCGAAATGGGTGTGCGGGACGCATGCGGGCACACCCACTGGGACCTTCGGCGGAGTTCCTTATGGGGCCACGAAACGTGAGGGGTGTGCCGAACATGATGATGGTCGTGCGGATTATGACGATGATGGTGATTATCGCAACGTCTCAGGGGGCAGGCGGGGGGCCAGCAAAGCTGACTATGACAACTCGGTCTCAGTCTGCGGGACGTGCAACAACGCCGCGAAGCGGCCTATAGGAAGTACGTTTTCAACCACACGCTGCACGAGGGCCCCGACGGGCCAAATATATAATGTAATTCATTGGGAGGCCGATTGAGATGTGTATAACCTCAACCAAATCACAACAATCATCAAAAACTCGAGTTGCGATCGGCATCGGAATATTATCATTCCCACGTGTCGTGAGAGCAGGGCTGGGTAAACCGTTCAAAGGGGGGGAAAGCTTGAGCGGACACGAAAGACAGGCAGGGCAGGAGGAGGAAAAAGACCTGCACTGCTATCTTACACGGCCCACCCCTACCTCACCACCCCGAGACGCGATCACTTAAGTTTGCAAAACGATCATTATCGCAACGTCTCAGGGGGCAGGCGGGGGGCCAGCAAAGCTGACTATGACAACTCGGTCTTAGTCGGCGGGACGTGCGGCAACGCCGCGAAGCGGCCTATAGGAAGTACGTTTTCAACCACACGCTGCACGAGGGCCCCGACGGGCCAAAGATATAATGTAATTCATCGGGAGGCCGATTGAGATGTGTATAACCTCAACCAAATCACAACAATCATCAACAACTCGAGTTGCGATCGGCATCAGAATATTCTCATTCCCACTCCCGCATCTGATGTGCCTTGCGTAGCCGAAATACTTCAGTTTATAGTCCAGGGTGGGCGGGCGGGGACCACAACGTTCTCATCATGCGATCGGCCAAGATCACATCGGGGTGGTGGTCGCGCCCGTAGGCCACACACCTCTAGGGAGCCCTCGTATGGCGCCCCTAGCCGCCCACTCGGGCGCCCCCGCTTGGCCTGTCGCTTACTCCAGTTGTCACGAGCTCCGTGGCGACCTTTTTCACCTTCTTCATCCTCAAGTTCGTCTTGTTGCTGTCGACCAGCTGCCTCTGCTGCTTGCTGTAGTTGGTGCAGGGTCCCCCCAGCTCGGGGAGTCTCGGCATCCAGGCCGTCCCACATGATGTCGGCCTCGTGCGGCCTTGCCATATCCCGCTCCTGCCCGTAGACGTCGTATGAGGGTCCTGATGGTTTCGTCCAGGACCCCCCCTTCCAGAAAGTAAGCTTCGCAAGGCCAAGGGGAGCTGGCTCCTCAGCTCAGGCCAACTTCCCAGCCACCCTGACAGAACGATCGACCCCCATGTGGGGTAGAGTCGGTTTCGGTGGCACTTCATGTCTCTGTAGTCGGCCAGGGCGTGGCCCATGGCGCTCTTGCACCGAAGCTCCCAACCCTTGTCGACGCGGTAGCCGAGAATGTCCCGCACCTTCGGGGCCCACTGTGCCGTGATCACGTCCGCCACGGAGTGGGTGAATCGCCTTGTGGAGCCGCCCTCGCGGATGCCCAGGTGCGTCTCCTTCTCGTAGTTGTCCCACGCCCGCGGCCCCCGCCTCTGCAGGGGAACGTCTCCTGCCGTGTGCGGCTTCTGGCGATTCGCTCCGACGGGGTGGCTTGCCTCCAACGCCAGGGCAGCTAGCCACCAGCGTATCCCGTACACGTGTGGCCCAGGTCGCGTAGACCGTGAGGTCGGCTGTCCGTCGGAGCGGGGTGTCGGTCGCAGTGGGCTGCCACCGTCTCGGGCGCCGCTCCCAAGAGACATCCTGGAGAGGCCTTCGGCGACGTTCAGCTCCAGCGGGACGTAGCGGTAGTGCCCGTGGCCCAGGCGCCACAGGGCTGATGAGCTCGAATGGCCCTCGCCTGGGGCTCCCTGGGCCACCATGCCGTTGGTGAAGATCAGGACCTTCAGCATCCGCCTCCGTGGCGATCTGGCAAGGTGTCGGAGCCCGCCCACCACGGTCCGCATCTCGCTGGTGTTCGTGTGCTCCGTGCTCCTCCACCTTCCGACGTAGAGTGGCCGCCATCTCGCAAGTGGCATCCAAGCAGGGGACAGCGGGGGGGACCTCGATCTCCGCCCCTCCCGGCCTCGGCGGCCCGAATGGCGTCGTAGCTGGAGATGCCCGCGAGCACGCAGGATCGGGGCCCTTCATCTCCTTCGTCATGCGGGCCAACGCCTCAAGGATCGCCCTCTCCCGCGCGGCGCACCGCGGGGGCTGGCAAGCCTGGGCGGAGGCGGTGCAGATGTCGGGGCGGCCCCGCTCCACTCGCCCCTCGAGTATCGCTGGATGCCTCCCTCGGTGGTTGCCTCTC